GAAAACCTTCTGTCAAAACTTTCTTTGACTGCTTAACAAACCTTCTATGTCTAAGTCTTCAAATTTCGCACCATTTTTAGTCACAATAGCAAAACTTAACTGGTTCGATGTTCCAAACTTTGCTGAATGAAGACTTTTCAAAATGGTAGAAGTAAACATTCAAATATGTGAATGGGTCTAGTTTCTTCTTTAAGTCCTGACATGTACTTGTTTACTGAGATGAATTTCGTCATCTTTTCTATCGGATAAAAAAATATTTTTTTTAAAATTTACTCAGAAAAATTTTTCTTTGTATATACACCATTCTGAACATCTAAAAGACTTTTGACATTTGCCAAGAATGTTCGTTTAGACGCTGTCATATAACCATACTCTTGACAATATTGTTTATACGAATCGTTACAATGACCTTTCATCTAAACACTCAAAGTCAGTTTCATCTATGAACAGTTCATATACACTCTTGTTTGTTCTAACAATGTTTGTCTCTCTTCGGTATGTGGAATTTGTCTTGGATTGAACTTTGAAATATCTAATGTCATGAAATATGAGAACAAGTGGTTTGTAAAAGTCAGATGTCAAAGTTTCTGACAAAGCGTCAAAATATTCTGTATCTTGCATATGAGAATCTGACGTTCTGACAACTACATATCTTCTGTCAGAACTTTCTAACTTCATCGGAACAGCATTGTTTGAAACCATAATGAAATTTGCAACATTTTCACAAACTCTTTGGTCTTTATATTTTCTTTCAACAACTCCAACTTTGTCTGTTATAAGACTCTTCAAAGCATCTGAGTTCAAAACTTTTGTTGTATCTATACTTTGAAGTTCGTTACATACTATAAGTTTTCATATTCTCTATTGAAGAGTTAAACTTGCCACAGATGTTTTCTAAGTTTGTCATATTCGGGTTCGAATAGCCCTCTAACAGTTTGCATAAGATATCTGTAAAGAATGTGTTCTTACCTGTTCCTTGTTTTCCAATTATAATGAGAGCAGTTTCATTTTTAGCACTTGGATGTTGTAAGATGTTTGCAAACCAACATAAGATATACTCATAGACTCTTTCGTTTCCATTGCATATAATTTCTTTGACATGGTCTAACCAAGCTTCTATAATATTTTCTTTCCATTCTACTTGTTCGTATTTATACCCAGTGAAGATAGAATAGAAGTTTGGAGAAGGTGTATAAAACTTTATACCACGAACTGAAAAATCTTCTAACTTTGACAATAAGATATCCCAAGCATCTAACATCTTCATGCCAACTTGTACGACTTTTATTTTCTTAAGTTTCTGTTTACATTCTTGTTCTGAAACTATTGTCGCTTTAGGTTTGTTAAAGACTACATCCCATTCTTTCATAACATAACATTCTGGGGCAGAGTCGACATAAATGACTAAACGTTTCAAATTCTCGACTGCTTTGTTATAGTCTCGAAATGGACACATATTTCTGAATGTTTGGAAGTCATAAAAATCTGAAACATCTATTCTGTACATTTTTATAAAAATAAAAAAAATATTTTTTTTATTCTTGAGCTATTTGTTGCATTTGTTGTTCTTGAGCTATTTGTTGCTGAAGTTGTTCTTGTAATACAATACTTTCACCAGTTGCATCTTCCAATTCGAAACTTTCTGCCGTCATTGACAAATACATAGGACATAAAAGTTTTACAGGAACAAAGTTTGCGTCAACTAAGGTTAAGTTTATGTTTGCTAAAGTGTTTTGAGTTTACTAAAGCGAAAACTCTGCATTCGAATGAACAATAGGCAAACCAGCAGAGAATGTGTTATTTATACGCATAAGTATCTTTTGGTCATAGTAGTTTCTGTCGACATTCGAATAACACTTTGAACCTAAGTTTGAAACAATATATAAAATAGGTGTACTTAAAGTCAATGGAACAGACATTCCTTGTATGACACCTTTTCCTGTTATAGGAAACTGTTGGTAGTAAAAACCAGATATAAGTTTTGTATTATAGCTCATATTGTTTATAGTAAACTCAGTCGGACATCCAAACATAATGAAACCTGCTCTAGTTGCAGCACATGTTACACCGTACTTAAAGTATTAAATAAGTCAACAAACCTGTTGGTGGTATATCTGAGTAAGTATCTTCAAAGGAGTATTTTTACCATTCACAACAATAAAATCTTCTTGGTGTCAAAAGAGCAAAAACAAGCTTTAGTCGTCATTGTGTTTAAGGTTAGTTTACAATATCGTCCTTGAGGACTTTGTAAGTTTGTTGTTATAGAATTATATGACTCAGGGTTTTTAGTCGTAATAGTATAAACCACTATGTCTTCTGCCATTTACTTAGCAAATAAATTTTAATGAAATGTTGTGGTCGTCAAATATTTTTATAACGTCTGGGAAACTATATTTTAAGTTCAACGTTTCACCTCCTTTCATAACGTATATCTTGTCAATGACATTATATGAAACACCACAGCAACTAACGTCGGGTTCTATTTCTTTGATGTTTATATCGTCTGCCTCTGTCAAAAGTTTCAATAGTTCTTTCAAAACTTCATGAGGTGCAATGACATATGAGTTCACTTTTACAGGGTTGTGTTCGACCAAGTTTAACATTATACTTAAAGCTTGACAAATCTTCTCCTGAGTTTGAAGTTTGTCTTTCAGTTGTTGGTAGTCGTTTCGAATATCTGCAACAGAACTTAAGTCTCTGCTAACTTCAGGGTATGTTGGTTGTTCTTTTACAGGAACTATTGTTATACCATTTTCGTCTTCGTATGGTTTCCCCACTTCAACATCTCTTTCTTTGACATTGACAACAACACTTTGACTGTTTGTTTGAGTTGGTGAATTTAACTTCACATCTGCCACCGCCATTAAACCTTTTGAAACACTCACGCTTCTATTTTTCGGAAATGACATTTTACTTAGAATAAAAAGATGGACGTATTCGGATATCTCTTCGAATTGAAGCAGAACAAAGTTTACACACAAACAATACAAATACATTGACAGAATAGTTCTTTATACAAACAATGGTAAATGTTATAGAATAGCAGTCTTTGCTGAACCAAAATATTTTCATAAAGCAAAGAAAGTTGGTATAACTGAAATGGTGAAAGTTCTTGAAGCAGACAAAAATATAACTTCAAAACTTACAGATATTTCTAAAGGTAAGTTTATAATACAATATTATGTCAAAACTGGCGTACTGTCAATATTTGACGGAGAGAAGTCAGTTCAAGAACAACTTACTGACCTGCTGCCAAAATCTGCTCGATGGAAGCTGTCGTTATGCCAATCTGAGGAGCCCCAGCAGGTTTCATCGAACGAATCTTCAAAAGAGCATCTTCCGTGAAAAGTGCTATTGGTTTTGTAAACTTCTTTGCTTTCAATTCATCTGGACCGTCTCTGTCACCAGTATATTGTATTTGTACAGTACCAACAGTTGAAATACCACCCATAAAGTCTTTTCTGAGTCAGCAAATGGAATGCCAAGCCAAAAGTTTGAACGGTCTCCATTTGTATATTGAGTTTTTTGACTTCCTGTATGGGTCCATACTTTCACATATGCATAATAGAACTTTGCATTTCAGGGTTAATGGTTGTTGTGAAGTTGTTGTTAAAGTTCATAGCATCTAATGTCAAGTTGTATGACCTCATATCCTCAACTGTAGAATATTCTTCTCTTGGATAATATTTGCCATCTATGTTTATATGATATTTAATACCGGGGTTGTAGAAACAAGAATAGTCATTTATAGTTCGTCTGAACAGTACAAACATAGTATCTGCATGTTTCATTGCAGTTGTTAAGGCAATATCTGTTCTTGCACCTGGGTCAGCACTTTGGTTTCCAACTTCACCTGCAAAGTCTTTGACAGATATTTGGTGTATAGGGAACATAAGTGGAACTGCAATATATTTGGCAGCTAAAGCATTTGAAATATCTGGGTCCAACATATAGACTGCAAGTCTGCTTTCTATTCTCTTGCATTCAAACTTTTCGCATGTGAACTTAACTGGGTCCCAAGCAGTTCCAGCAGCATTGAAATAATAGTTTACTTCAGTGTTGAGGTTTGAGAAACCAAAGTCTAAGTCAACTTTGTCTTTGCAAAAGTCGGCGAATGACGTTTTATTTGTTCCCTCTACGTCTGTAATAGTGAATGGGTCTTGTGTTGGTGCAATGACTAAGTTATTTTTGCTTGGAGTAAGTTCGATAGAAATTTTTCCTGCCCAGTTTGGCAAGTATCTTAAAAACCTGAAGATGAGGAAAGATGACAAAGGAACTCTAAGTTTCAGTTTTACTTTAGTGACAGCATTTCCATCTGAACCAGAAAGGTTAACATAAACTCCTGGAACGTTAGGGTCAAGTCTTCTTATTTTCTCAATAGTTGCATATTGGTCTGTTTGTTCTCTAGCTTGTGGTTGTACTGAGTTTCTCAAAGCGAACCATTCATAGTTTGCCCATGTTACTGTTTGAACTAAGTCAGAGTTAGAATATATCTTATATCCCATGAAAACTTCTGGAGCATATTGGTATCCGACATAGAAAATTCCATTGCAACCTTTCTTGTCAGACAACTTGGCAGAAGGTTTTATTTCAATGTCTTGTTCCACGTATAAGAATGAGTTGTCAATAGAAATAATATGAAACCTGTCGCAAGCAATATCTACTGTTGTTGAAGAACCTTCTCCAAACTCACCTACGTTTCCATAAGAAACAGCAGTTGTATATTCGTAAGTTCCAGGAACTATTTCTGACCTTCTAATGGCATTGTCGCATTCGTTATACCATTCGGAAACATTTCCGTTCATGGCATCCAAAACTGTTGGCGTTATATTCTGAGCGGCGTACATTTCATATGGGTAAAAATATAGAATAGTTGGATTTATGTGTCATAATAGAACCCACTCGGACCAAGCTTTACTTTCTTCCTGACTGAGTTTTTAACTCTTCTTTTTCCTTCATTGCCACTACTTTCACTAGATGAAGTTACTTCTTCACTATTTTCACTTTGTTCTACTCTTCTTCTTTGGTGTCGCTTTTGGTAACTTGCCCTCTGCTTCAAGTTGTTGCATCTTTGCCTCATGTTCACCTAGTATGTTGTAAATTTCCCATGTCCTTTTTGCCTTTGGGCTCTGGTCGCCCATCTCAGGTAACCTATATCCTAGAAAGATTTTGTCATAGTTTGTATTTGAGTCTTCGCGTATTGTTTGCATGACTCTTTCCTGAGTTTCCGGTTCAAGCTCTTCAAACAGAGCTTGTCCATATGGAATAAGCTCGTTTCCAAATATATGTTTTTGTAGCCATTCTGGTTTTCTTTCCATGTTACCAATAATATCTTTTGTGAATGGGAAAGCTTTTACCCAATGTTTCAGTCTTGCGTCATTTATTTCTGTAGTTGGTTTTATTTTGTCAAGGAACATGTTTTTCAATACTAACATTTCATTTGGTACTGTCCATTTGAGTTTTCTTAAATATTCATCCCTTCTCGGTTCATTGTCTGCAAAGTAAGTTTTTATGACATTTTGTAAACTTTCGTTTGCAAGGTCATGTACAATAGGTTCTCTTCCTTCTGTCTCCCTAACTTTCTTTCTAAACTCTTCACCAAATATACCATCTCTATGGTTCTGTGTAGTTCTTTGAGATAAATGTTCTAGAACGTCAGGTGTTATATTTCCATCAGCCATGTTCATTTCATACTGGTTCAAAATATCTGCCTCTTTCATATCTTTCAATGGCATTAAAGCCGCGCTGAAAATACCAGCTATATCTGGTTCACCATTCACTTCCATTGCGTCTACAACCTCTTGGAATTGAGGTTGTAAGTTTATGAACCACCTATCCGGATTAGCTTTATGACCCCATCTCATTGTAGTTCCATAGTCTGCAGAAACAAAAGTAGGTTTGTTTCCATATTGGTTAGGTTCTGAATGAACTTTAAACAATGTTTCATTTCTATATGTTTTGTTGAAATTTAACCTTTTATTTTCACCGAGTTCAGCCAAAGATTGAACGTTATATGGTCGTAAGTAAAAAGGATTGTTGTATTTGCGTACATTTTCTTTCAGTACTTCCATTCTATGCTGAATATTTTCATCTGGTGTTGGAGTCTTTTGTATGTCGGCAAACATTTTTCGATATTCTTCTACTATGTCAGCCGAATTTTTTTTAGACTCTTGGAAAGATTCCATATTCACCTCATACTCTTGTTGAGGGTCAAGATTTTTCGGCTGTTCCAAATCTTCATCTAGTTCTGTGAAGTTAGTTTCCAAAGGAGGGACTTGTTCGTTTCCTTCAGGCTCTTCTAGCTGTTGTTGCTGAACTATTTCTTCCATGTCTGGTTGTATCTGAACTTCTTCCTGTGGAGTTTCTTGTACCTCATCTGCTGGCATTTCATATATTCCGAGACCGTTTTTAACAAGTTCCCTATCTAAGTCATCCGGACTCATAAACCTTTCTTCTTTCGTTCCGTCTCTATTTTTTACGCGTTTCATGAAGAGAGTTGAATTGTCATTTAGCTCTGACACCAAATATCTCGGAGTAAATTCAGTCATGTCATTTGGATGATATGCTATTAAATCATATCCCTTAGCGAGCTTGTATTTTCCAGGTTTGAAATTATATCCCATTTGGTGCTGAGCCATAAAGCTAAATAGGTTCGGGTCAGTATTTCCTTCCTTGAACTTTCTAATAGCTTCTTTATATCTGTCACTAAAGTCAAGAGTATCTGGGTAACCATAATCTTCCTTTAGCATTTTTAAGAATTCTTGGTTTCCTTGTTCTCTACTTCTTTTATGTCCTTGCTCTGTTTGTGGTTGTTGTTGTGCAGGATTTTGAACTGTTGGTTGCTGTGCTGGTTGTGGAGGTGGTTGTTGTGCAGTGTTTGGAACTGTTGGTTGTGGTGCAGTGTTTTGAACTGTTGGTTGTTGTGTTGGTTGTTGTGTTGGTTTTGGTGCATGCCTGTGTCTGTGTCCATGTGACGATGTAAATGTTTTAGGTAGTCCTGGTGCAGGTGCTTCTCTTGGAGGGTTTGGTGGTATATAAGTTCCACTAGCTAGTATATAAGTTCCACCAGCTGGCACATATGTTCCATCTGCAGCATAATGTCCTACCTGACTTTTCGTTTTTAAGAAAGCATTTACTAGGTCTGTTTTGGTCTGTTGTAACTCTTTTTCTTGACTTTCCACAACAGTTGCTCTAACGGCGTCATAGGCACTTTGAACTGCCTGTCTCGTTGCTGCATCTGTTATTTTCGTCATATTTTGTGCTACTTCTCTTAACTCTTTGTCGAAACCTTCAGACTTCAGTTTCTTTCCAGATGAGAAGTCGTTCACTAGTTTCACCTTACTATGAAGAGCTTCGAAGGCGTTCTTAAAGTCAGCATTCATTAAAGCTTCATTTGAACTGTCTTCATCCGCTTGTATTTTTGTCCTTATTGACCCTATAAGTTGGGCTGCTTTAGCGTTGGCTTGGGCATCTAACCAGTCATTGTTAGCTTTTATATATTCTGCGCTTTTCATTGCCTTTTGCATGGCTGCGTCGTTATTTTTACTTTCTTGTGCTAAGTTTTCATACTGTACGGTTTGGTTTTGCAACTGTAAAAGTTTTTCTGCCTTTACATTTGCTTCAACTTCTTTTTTATACTCATCGCTATCCATATATGTCTTCAGGGCTTTTTGTTTTATCTCTTCATCTTTCAGTACTTTATATTGAGTAGTATGGTTTTTCAAATTTATAACATCTTGTTCCATTTTTGCTACTTCTGCTGCTTTTTCTGACACTTTTTTCGCATATTCCTCTGTACTTAGTTCTTTCAGTTGTTCTTCTTTCTTCTTTTTCTCTACGTTTAACTCATTGAGTTTCTTTGTGTGTCTGTCATATTCTAGTTTCTTTTCGTTTTCACTTATTTGTTTCTGTATGTCTATGTTTGACTTTTTGACATCTGTTATTTGATTTTTGAGTGAACTCAAATTCATTTGACTTTGAGGGTTATAAGCTGTTCCGTCTGCAGCTCCACCATAGCCTGCCATTTTCGCTAAAAGTGCCGCTCTTAAACCTCCACTCTGTGCACCAATAACTCGGTTTAAAAGCATAGGATTGCTTGACATTTGTTGCAACATAGTGGGGTCATTCATTATTTGTTGTTGCAACTGTTGTTGTGGTGTCAGTTTTACTATTGGATGTTTCAATGCTCCCTTCCTCTTACGTATATTCTTACGTAGCTTACGTGGCATTTTAAGTGAAGTTAAAAAGCGGTTTTTGACAGATGTTTATATGACACTTTTGTTCAGCACAAAAAACTACTCGGTCAAAGTGTTGTCAGTTTTGTAAAATAACCGTCCTATCTCATTCTATAAGGGGGAAAGTCTTCTCAAAGTATACTTCCTTGGAACGCCCGTAACTTTTCCTGTAGCGACGATAGACCCTTACTTGTCCGGACAAAGTTATACTAAACATCTTCAGGGCTAGAGGGCACGAAGTGCCTGGAAGCCCCACTACCTTTTTTTTTTATTATAAAAAAGAAAAAATAATGCACGTTAAAATTTTTCTTTCTTGATTTTTTACAAAATCTACTTAGAATTATGCAAAATATGACTAAATAATTATAAATTTCAAGTTAAATTTTAATTTTGATAAATAATTTAAATTTCAAAATATCAAGTTCGGTTCGACTATGTATGTAGTAATTCCTCAATAAAGTGCCAAAACCCTATTAAAATATATGAACATTTTCAACATTTTAATGTTTTTATTTAAAAATTTGATGGAATATGAGCTTCAAACAATTATTATGTAAATAAAAATAATTAAATATATGTATTTATTCGTATTACAACCGTAGTAAGTCGATTCTTCCTTTCTTCTACTGAGTTTTGAATTTGATTTCGAATTGTAAAGAGATTCAAAGGGAAAATACTAGCGGATAAAAACTACCTCCATGAAAGGGTCATAATGGAGTCAAGTTGTATTTTTTGATATTTTTTTGCTTTTCGAGCCTAAAGAGGTAGCCAAGATAATGCCTAAAAATAAGGTTCTAAATTCTGAAGTTTACATGATCCTCTCGTGTGCACCCTTAATATCAAAAGAATAAATAAAAAAGAGTTTATTTTCTACGGCGATCTCTGTTTCTTCCTCTATCACGATCTCTATCTCTTCCTCTGTCGCGATCTCTATCTCTGTCTCTATCTCTATCCCTGTCTCTGTCACGATCTCTATCTCTGTCTTTTCTGTCGCGATCCCTATCTCTATCCCTGTCTCTGTCATCTCTATGTCTGTCTCTTCCTCTGTCGCGATCTCTATCTCTATCCCTGTCCCTGTCTCTATCATCATCATCGTCTCTTCTTCTTTCTCTATCTCTGTCATCTCTCCTTCTTTCTCTATCCCTATCTCTGTCTCTGTCCCTGTCGCGATCTCTATCTCTGTCTCTATCCCTGTCTCTGTCATCATTTCTTGAACGTGGTTTATCATCTTCGTCTCTTGATCTGACTCTATCTTCATCTCTTGTTCGAACTCTTTCGTCATCTCTTGTTCTGACTCTTTCGTCTTCATCCCTTGTTCTAACTCTCTCATCGCTTCTTGTTCTGACCATCTCGTCATCTCTTGTTCGAACTCTTTCGTCATCTCTTGTTCTGACCCTTTCATCATCCCTTGTTCTGACTCTGTCGTCTCTTGTTCGAACTCTTTCATCTCTGTTCCTTCTGGGCTCGACTGGATCATCTCTTGACCTTTCTCTGTCATCTCTGGATCTCGGCCTGTCATCTCTTGTACGTGGAGTATCATCTCTGTGTCTTTGTTCACCTGTTGCTGGTTTATCAGGGATTTTGAATTCTTGAACTTCTTCATGATGAACTGAGCGCTCGTGCTGCTCATCTCTGTTCTGTTCGGACATCTTGTTGAACTCTTCGGTTGTTTTCAGCTTGTTGACATCGAATTTCTGCCATTCTTTGATTTCATTTCGTAATTGAGTGGCGGGAGTAAGCATTGATGGGACAATACCTGTTCTACGGCAGTCTTTGTTGGGACAACGCTGATCTTCATTGAGAAGAGCTTCCGTAATACAAGAATCGCAGTAAGCAACTTTACAACATGGAGTTAATGTAGCGTGAGTCATGATTCTGTTGCAGATTGGACACATCCAACGCTGAAGATCTTCAAGGGTCCATCTGTTTCTTGCAAATGGTGGATCTTCTGGACGCTGAAAATACGCAACTTCATTATATGGCAAAATAATTTTGCCTTGTAATGGACGTAAGATGTACGAGCGAGGAATATTTTGTCTCTTGTAAAAGAATTCATCTTCTTGCTTTCTTGCTTCAAGTTTGTTTAATGAATTTTCATCTGGAACTTCTTCTGCAGCAGCTTGAGCTTCAGCTGCAAGTTTAGCTGCTTGTTCTTCAGCTGTTTGATCTTGTTGTGGTGCTGCTTGCTCAGCTGGCTGTGCAACTGGTTTTGTTTCTAAATAAATCTTGGAAGTTAAAGGTACACGATAAACAATTACTGATGTATTTCTGTTAATAAATTCGTATTCGTTTTTATAAACTTCTCCAGTTTGTCTATTTTTAACAACTAAAGTAACATTATCTTGATCAGCAAGCTGCTCTTGTTCTTTGATTTGATTAATAAGCTGTTTAAGAGCAACGGTGGATTGGTTAATTGTTACATAAGATGATTTCTTTTTACTACAAAAACAATACTCAATCCTTGACCGCATTAAAAAATTTAAGAAAACAAAATTCGATTATATTAATCACATATCCTTATCATTCAAATTATAACGATTTTTCGACTGGAAAGTGCGGCAAATTCAAATTTTTAGTAGGAATTCGAACAATCCGAATTAAACTCATTGAAAAGAGGCTAAACACATTAGTTTTAGCTATCTCTAGGAATTTTATACAAATCCTAGGATAATCCCATTTCAAATATCCTTTTCTTATAAGATAAGGATTCATTCTCTCTAAAGAAGTTATCTGAATCAATCAAAATACATTATTAGTATTATATACTTATATGGCGATGCACGCGCTAATCATAACTAAAACCAACATAGATAACAATATTCTATCTGATGTAGAGTAGTTGGATTCATGACTTAATGAAAAAGAAACAATAAGTTGGCACTGAAAAAAGATACTCACTGTAATTTCATGATATATTAAACACTAAAATTAAAAATCCAACATAAGTAAAGGGGATATAATTTTGATTACCACACAACTGAATAATACTCATGATTGTGCATAAAACCAAATTCTCAAATGATGGCGAAATTCATTTACATGACTGTAAAATTATTTTGATTTCTACCAATCAAGGCAGCAATCAACATAAGGCTCTATCAAGGGCTCATAGAAGCACAAAAAATGACAAATAAACATAAAATAAACGATATAATTAATCCTTTTTTCGATAAGATATCATTGCATATTAGAATTAAACTAATATAGACTGGAGAAAAGATGTACTAGTATATTTCATTGGGCTGTACATTATGTAATACGCAACAACTATCATCTATTCGCTTATATTGATATAGAGTTTTATGCAGAAAATTTGCTACAGATTGAATTTGAATAAAAAAAATTTTTGCTTTTAAAATAACGTGTAAAATATTTTCAATAAATGCCTAATTTTAAAGGGCAATCATTCCAGCAATCAATAAACCCACGAATAATTTTGAATAGATTTTTTTTTTCGATCCCCAGAAAATCATAGGTTTATCATGAGTAACATCAAACCTATGAGAGTACGAAGCATCGCTGATCAGCTTAACGTCGTAGCGAGGCAGTCGGTGCTACAGAATCCTCAAAATCCATATATTGCATTGAAAAAATCAGAATCAAATGAATTTTTTTCAACAAGATCGCTTACAAAAGGCTCAAAAGTCAATCTACTTAAGAACAATCAAATCAAGCTACCTCCTTTGAAGGGTGAAGATAAATCAGAGACTTCTTCTAAACTTGATATTGTTGAGGCGTTAGAGAAGAAAGAACCTATTAAGCCAACTACTGATCCTAAACAAGATCAAGTACAGATCGGCTACTTCAAATTACAGCAGCAATGGGAAATGCAAAATAAATTTGCAAAAATAACAGAAAAATTTTTCAAAGAATGTTATCTTAAACCTTTACATGAAGCTCTCGAACAAACTCTTATCCCTGTATTCAAAGCAGCTACAGTAACCTTTTGGCAGGATATTCCGTCAATACATTTATTATATTCACCACGTCTTCAAGTTACTGTCTCACATTCAGACGGTTTAGTCGGATATACGTTTTTCACTCGCAAATTCCTAAAAATCGAACGCGCTTGTTCACATTCTGCATATAAAGAAGGTGTAGACTCAAAGATCTGCCCAGGCCAAACACCAGTATACATATTCCCACTATGGGATTACAACGATAACGTTTGCGCTGTCGTGGAAGTTACTAGAACTTCAAAAGATCCATTCTTTGATGCCGAGAACGACGCTTTCATTCAATTCTTCTCAGAACAATTTAAGATACACAGCAAATGGTTATTCCCAGTCGAAATACCTCACAGCTTGATTATTGAGCTTGGCCAAGTTATGGAACTCGAACAGTTCCTTCTTTTGTTCCAGAAGAGAATCCATACATTCTTCAATTGCAGAATCGCAGAAATATGGCGATATAATATACGAACAAACAAAATGGATAGATTTATTAACGATAGAAAAGATATTGACCCAGGAAGGGCCGGAATCGTCGGTGATGCATTCAGCAGAGAATGTACAATCAATGTACAAAATACTAAAATGCAATCTAGCTACATACAATACTTAGATGGAGATTCCGAAGAATCCGCACTGATTGTACCAATCATTGATACAAGATTAGCCATGAAATGGGCTGTCTGTCTCCGTGGCTCTAAAAATTTCCCTGTATTTACTTCAGCAGATGAAGAATTACTTGGACTTATGACTCCATACTTGGCGTTGTCACTAGAAAACGCAGACAAATACAGTAGCGCGCTCCTAGGTAATGCTCGTGAGTCTTTGGAGCACCATTGCGTGTTTGGTCTTCAAAAGATCGCATCTTTAATCAACGAAGCAGCGGAAACGAAGGTCATTCTCAACGAAGCACTCGAAAACATCGAAAAACTTACAAGCGCAGATAGAGTTCTTCTCTTCCAATACGATAAAGATACTGATAATTACGTTGTCAGCGCATATATCGGATCAAAAGACCCTCCGAATCCAATTTCCAAAGACCACGGTATCGTAGGTAAGACATTCAACTCCAAGGAGATCATAAATCTCACAGAAGCCTATGAAGATCCAAATTTCGATAACGCAATCGACTTACAGACCCAATATAAGACCAAAACACTATTATCAGTACCTGTTATGAACAACCGTCTTGAAGTTATTGCTGTTCTCCAGATGATAAATAGAAAGGACGGCCAACCTTTCTCACAAACTGACTTTAATTACATGAAAATCTTCTCAATCATGTTCGGATTGCTCCTGGATAACCAGCAGATGTACTCAGTATCAACATCGGCTAACAGGCAGCTCTCCTCCTTCATTTCTGTTTCAACTGCCCTGTCATCTAATCAAAATGTGAAACAAATTTTGTCAGAAATACTTCAGAACGCAAGAGTGACCATCAATGCAGAACGTTCTTCCCTTTTCTTGCTCGATAACGTCGTAAATACTTTAACTTCTTATTTGGTCGATGGCGGAAAGATGCCACAGTCAATTCCTTTGTCACACGGTATCGCAGCGACCGCAGTTAAACAGAAAATCTCGATCGTTATCCAAGATGCTTATCATGATCCACGATTCAACAAAATGATCGACTTCCATACCGGTTTCAAGACCAAATCATTGATAGCTGTACCAGTTATCACTTCCGATGGCACAGTTATCGGTGTAGCCGAAATGTTGAATAAACAAGAAGGAATCTTCACTCAATCCGACCAAACATTGCTTGAATCCTTCTCCACGTTTGCTGCCTTACTTCTAGAAAAGCGCAGACTTAAGGATATCACAGAAAAAGGTACAGCTCAGATCGAAATGTCGAAATGGATTGGAGAATTCGAGAGATCAACCTATACAACACCAACCAAGCTTCGTGTACCAGAAGCCAAGCAAGATGTCCTTAAATCTCTCGATTTCTTCGCTATTGATTGGAATGGTATCGGATTATTCCAAATTGCCTTCTTTGTATTCAACGATTTCGGACTTTTGGAGCGTTTCCAGATCACGAACGACCTATTCTTTACGTTCTTGTACAGATTACGTGAAGCATACAACGAACCACCATACCATAACTGGATCCATGCCATAGATGTACTCCAATACATCTCTTACCAAGTAAGAATTACGAATTCACACAAAATTTTGACACAATTTGAATTACTTGCTGTTTGTGTCGCTGCTTTATGCCATGATGCAGGCCACCAAGGCTTAAACAACGCGTTCAATGTTAATGCTGAGACTCCTTTAGGTATTTTGTTCAAAGACCAGTCCGTCATGGAAACATTCCATTGTACAGTGGCCATCAGAATTTTGTCACAGCCGGAGACAAATTTGTTCCATTCATTGAATACTAAGGAATTAACGGTTATTTGGAAGTGGATTATTCACCTCATTTTAGCCACTGATATGGCTTTCCACTTCAAATTGATCAAACAAGGAAATGAAGCATTGGAAGCAGGTGTTATCAATCTGAAAGAAGAAGCACATAGATTGATGTGTATGGAGTTAGTTATGAAAGTTTCGGATATTTCCAATGTGTCAAGACCATTTAAATACGCTGATAAATGGTGTGAAGTTTTGTCAGAAGAATTCTGGAGACAAGGTGATAAAGAAAAGGAGCTCGGACTTCCTTATTCAGGACCTTTGATGAATAGAGAAGGCCAGAACAAACCAAAGGGCCAAGTTGGTTTCTACAACTTCGTTTGTTTGCCTCTTTACACTTTGATCGCAAGAATTTTCCCTGAATTGACTGTAAACTTGGAATCAGTCAAATCTAACTTGGCACAGTGGGTCAAGTTGGTGGAAGAACAGGAGAAGGCTCAGGCTGCTCAGGCATCTTCGAATAATGATGCTAAACCTGAGTCAAATTCACCTCCTCCAGTTGAAACTGCAAGGAAAGATGAAAAATAATATCTTTTCCGAAATGCCTTCAAAAAATTGAGAGAATTGTATAGTTTACACGGAATGAATATGAAAAATTCTTAGAATTGTTAGAAGATATATCTTGATTAGTTTATTTTAGTTCTTTTATTGTTATATTTTTATTTGCATCGTTTTTTTATTTATTATTTTTTTCTATTGATATTTTTTAATAAAATTTTCATGTCTTTTATTACTTCCTAATAATTGTTTAACCTATAATTAGCTATTCATGGCATGTTCTTCAATATATATTAATCAATTTGATTCAGATACAAATAAGTTACTTCCTTCGAACCAAAACATTGACATAAACTCTAGCTATAGGCTATTATCATATAGCATATATATGAGGAAGGCTGAGTTATAACATCACCTTGAATTAACTCAAGAAGTCTCTTAAATCTCGGTTTATGATATTCTCGGAAAGTAAATTGAGTTAGTTCTATGTTTGTGTGAACATATATAAGGGAATCAAATGAGGTAATTCAACTATATTATTATATTTCCAAATCATAATGATTACAAAAGAAATGTATCATAGTATTGATATTTTTGTCTTTTGATGTTAAATAAATCATATTATGTTTATTGTAAATACAAATTTTACATGATATCAAAAAAGACAACAAAATAACATCTGTATGATAGATCAAATCAGTCTGATCTTGAGTTATAATCAGCAGGTGCATTATCAAGTGGCATTTCCTTGCCAAATGAAGTGAGAATTTTATTTTTGTATTGCAAATGGTTCTTTTTGATCTTGTAAGCTGCCTTTGCATTTGAGTGGCTATATCTATTATGTCTTGCTGCAAGAACATAGTTTTCTTTGACCTTTGGATCACTAATATGCCGATTTTTCGGTTTATGGTTAAAATGGTAAGAACAGAAGCCATCTCCAAGCGAGGTAAGTGCTATATGTGAATCTAGCCACCCTGCAACCCATGGATCCCATCTATATTTGCCCATATGGAAAGGAGGAATTTCATCGATGTTTAATTGCATTGGTTTCTTCGAAATCAGGAAGAAATCAATGCCCCAAGTAGAATGAGTATGTCTGTCCTTCGCAATCGAGTCGTAGTCAATGGGAATTTGAGTTTTTTGTTTCAGGGAATAATTGAAATCGCATCTGCGGCTAATAACAGCAGCTTGAAGGTTCTTTTGATAGAAGTAATCCATGACAAACTGACATCTCGGATACCAGCCTTTTGGCAAAATTATATCCGAATTTATCCAACAAACGTAATCAGTTTGCGAGTAATCGAAGCCTTTGAAGAACCAATCATCTATGTATGGAACTCCATCAGAATCAACGTCGATTGGTTCTGTGAAGAAAATTCTGTTTTTACCGAAATGTCTTTCTAATTCTGGTACTATAGTATTGTTTGGGTCAAATTCTTCTTGTGGAAGTAAAATCAAGAGCTTTGATAAATGTGATGTCGTAAGCCAAGAACTCATAGTGATTAAATATAGATTGTAGAGTTCTTTTGTGGTTACTGGATATGGTACTGCACAAAAAGTTATTGACAAATTGAAATCCATGTATTTTGTTGAATAAATGAAATCATTCGAGTGTTTATAAAGAAAATAAACAATGGATATGATCAACAATGATATGAAGTATACAAGTAACATATATTTTATCATCTGAAATCTCTTCAAAGAACTAAATCTCATTTCGAAATTTTCATTTATATAAAAAAGTGACAAATATTCAATCATCAAATCATTCTAAGCTTTAATATAATCATCAATCACTATATGCTATTTGGATTCTATTTTATCACTTCAAATTTCAAAAAATGGAAGTTCTTCCTCATAATGTACAAAATCTTATTAAAAAAATCAAGAAAAACATAGACAAAAACGGATCTGTTGATTCAAGATCCTGGGCATATTTCTCCGAAACAAATGCAGATCCAAAAACTCTTTTCCACGCATTTCATCAAATTGTTTGTTATATTTTCGAAAGTACAGACAAAAACAGAACTAGTATTCTCAAAGATTTGCACAGTGAAGTTAAAACATCATCTCTTTTGCTCGATGCCTATTTATACGCAGTTTATACTTCTAATCTTCCGGGAGGATCTGATATATTCACTACCTTTGTTGAGAAAGATTTACCAGATTTGGACTGGTCCGCCCTAAAATCACCTTATATTCTCAGAGAACCAATGCCAGGACCAAAAGGAGTGTATAATAACTTCATATGCACGATATTATTCAGCCAGTCTACTCCAGAAGAATTAGCTGAATCAGACTTTGTTAATCATTCTAATATTTCGTTCTTAAGTAATCTTAGAAAAACTCCATTACGAAATTTCGTCAGAGCAGTTACAATTAGATCCGCAAGAACAGGCAAAGCATTACCAAAATTCTTATTCGAGGATGATAAACTAGTTAATGCACTTCTTCTTTCACAAAATTTGGAAGATCTCCAACAAGCGGCGAAAGCATCATTCCAAGCCGACAAAAAGTATCCTGATTATTTCTACGCTACATGGAGCTCTATTAAAGACAATGTTCGCACAAAAATGTTTAATTATATTATTTTACCTTTTGCATCGTATTTCTCACAAGAAGCTCTTCAGTTTATCATCAACAATGGCCTTAAATCACTCACAAAGTCCTTTAATTTCGATTTATTCATTAAAACTCCTGAATGTATCCAAGCAGCGAATCCTAGACTTATTATTGAGATCTGCATGAATAAATCCGATGATACATCATTCATTGCATCAGCTGCAGAGGTTTTAAACAACATTTCTCCGGAAGAATTTTTGGAAGTTTTATTTACTTCACCAATTACGGCCATTACTGCTACATCACAGATCTTTATACAGAGATTGAAGAAAAAGAACCTTTCCGAGGAGCAAATTTCACATTTTGTCGATAAATTTATATTTGAGAACGAAAAAGTCATATTATCACTTCTTCTTGAGGCTCTTAAAGCTGGATGCACAGATGTTATCTCAGAGTCTACTTTTCTGAACGCTTCCAATCAAATTATAGAATTTCCTGAATTTGCTTTGGATATTATTGGATTAATGTCAGTTCAATCTGATTGCACCCAGTTTTGGATGGAGACTGAGACAATTAGTATACTTTTGGATCAATTACTTTGCATGAAAGAAAGAAGTAACTTGATTCAGGAATTTTTCGATAAATTTGCATTAGAAGTAAATGAGAATACAATCATTGCACTCTTGCCAATGATATCTCAAGTTCCTGTTGTTTATTCGAGATTTATTTCGATATGCAAATCAAGATTTCCCGAAGATAACCAAGTTATTAGCGAAATCAATAGTATTAATGTTTTGTAATAAATGTATAATATATATAGAGTTCAATAAGAAATATAAATTAATTTTTTTTAGAAATAATCTTTATCATAATTATTACATTAAGATTTTGTCACTTATATATCTGATACTAAGTCAAATTAACATTTATTGGCATTCGGCCTCAATATATTGTTACATTTTATTCTAAGAACACAAGATTTGTAATAAAGATAATAGAGTTTGCAAAATAATATTGTAAGATGAATGGCAGAAAATCCTCCAGATTTCTGCATGTTGATGTCAGCCCCACGTGAAATCAGAAGTTTAATAATGTCCCTATGATTTAATATTAATCCAATCATAAGAGGAGTTAATTTTTGCCTGTTATTATTATCATTTATATTTGCACCGTGTGAAATTAGAATATTTGCTGCTTCGATTTTATTTTTTAAGCATGCATGATGAAGGATTGTAAATTGACTCTCTTCATATTTGTAGTTGACATTTGACCCATGTGAAGCAAGTAACTCCAACATAGCAGAATTGTCATTGGAAATAACCAAACTAAGTTCAGATCCATTTAAGACAGAACAATCAAATCCATTTAAAAGCAAAGTTGATGCAATACCTGTTTGATTTGAATCAACTGCATAATGAAGCGCTGTATAACCACCAAATAAATTTAAATTAATATCTACGCCATTCTTAATCAAATATTCACAAAGAGATGGAATATGAAATAATTGAGATTTAAAAATGGTTAAAGATAAGTCGTATGAATTAGCATCATCTAAAAAGAATGCATATGCATAAAGATTATAATAAGTTGTACATGGTAGGGAAGTAATTCGTAAATGGTATTCAGTAATTAATTTTTCAACATTATCGAAATTATGAGATGCAATTGCTGCTTCCATCGTATTCCAATCAGACATTTGTTCTTTCAAACACTCGTTAATGATGTGTTGATTGTTCCCTATAAATGAAGCATCTAGACATTCTTTAGTGATTTCTACATTAAATTCTTTTCTTAATAACTTGAAACAATTGATTGCTCCTCTTAAACAACATTTTTTAAGGACTTATGTGAGATAAAAGCTCTTACTTTTCAAGTGATCTAATAATTCTTCTTCGTTATCATTCATTATTGCATATTCCGGGGAATTTATTTTAACATCATCATATTGTGAAAAAAATGAGATATCAATATTGTCAGCAAAATATTCTTCTAAGATTCTCTTCATTAATTCTATGTATCCATGACGATAATGGAAACCCTCATTGCAAGCATTTCCTATCAATTCAATCATCTCTTTTGCTGTAAAATATCCGGTGTCAATCAAGTTATTCTTGATTTCTTGGTATAATCCGGCTGTTGAATTTATTTCATCTGAATTCAATTTATATATTGCATCCATTGAATCAATGTATCCCTTGTATTCATTCAAAAGCGTTTCAGAGGCCCTAATTGCTTGGCTCATTTTCATTAATTGAAAAAAATAAGAGAATCAGCATTATTTTGATTGAATTACGCTATATGCCAAAATTATTAAAAACCCAAATCTATACTACGATTATTTTTGATTCAAATGCTGTTCAGCATTAGAAGCAAAAATAATCATAATCGAGATAATTCCAATTTTTAATACTTTTTGGAAAAAAAAAAAAAAAAAAAAAAAAAAAAAAAAAAAAAAGGTAGTGGGGCTTCCAGGCACTTCGTGCCTTCTAGCCCTGAAGATGTTTAGGAGAAATGAAGTTCTTATATACGGGTCTTCCAGGAGCTTTTCACAAATTATATATGTTTTTCATGTTTTGTCAAGATTTCATCGTAAAGACTTTGTCAAGATTTCATCGTAAAGACTTTGTCAAAACTTCATCGTAAAGACTTTGTCAAAACTTCATCGTAAAATCAGACAAAAATAATGTTTAGGGTAGAAGGTTAGATATAACCTCTTTTCTAACCTCTTTTCTACCCTCTTGAATTTGTCAAGATTTCTTCGTAAATGTTTTGTCAAGACTTCTTCGTAAATGTTTTGTCAAGACTTCTTCGTAAATGTTTTGTCAAGACTTCTTCGTAAATGTTTTGTCAAGACTTCTTCGTAAAATCAGACAAAAATAATGTTTAGGGTAGAAGGTTAGATATAACCTCTTTTCTAACCTCTTTTCTACCCTCTTGAATTTTCATGAAATTTACACCAAAAATATACTACTAGGGTCATTTACGAAGAAATCTCAACAAAGTCTTTACGATGAAATCTCAACAAAACATAGACAAGAAAGTTCATGAGAAATTAGATGAAGAAGTCTTAACAAAGTCTTTACGAAGAAATTCATGAAAATTCAAGAGGGTAGAAAAGAGGTTAGAAAAGAGGTTATATCTAACCTTCTACCCTAAAATATATTTTTGGGTCATTTACACTCATTTACGAAGAAATCTCAACAAAGTCTTTACGAAGAAGTCACAATAAAACATCTGTCAAAAACCGCTTTTTAACTTCACTTAAAATGCCACGTAAGCTACGTAAGAATATACGTAAGAGGAAGAGAGCATTGAAACATCCAATAGTAAAACTGACACCACAACAACAGTTGCAACAACAAATTATGAATGACCCCACTATGTTGCAACAAATGTCAAGCAATCCTATGCTTTTAAACCGAGTTGTTGGTGCACAGAGTGGAGGTTTAAGAGCGGCACTTTTAGCGAAAATGGCAGGCTATGGTGGAGCTGCAGACGGAACAGCCTATAACCCTCAAAGTCAAATGAATTTGAGTTCACTCAAAAATCAAATAACAGATGTCAAAAAGTCAAACATAGACATACAGAAGCAAATAAGTGAAAACGAAAAGAAACTAGAATATGACAGACACACAAAGAAACTCAATGAGTTAAACGTAGAGAAAAAGAAGAAAGAAGAACAACTGAAAGAACTAAGTACAGAGGAATATGCGAAAAAAGTGTCAGAAAAAGCAGCAGAAGTAGCAAAAATGGAACAAGATGTCATAAATTTGAAAAACCATACTACTCGATATAAAGTACTGAAAGATGAAGAGATAAAACAAAAAGCCCTGAAGACATATATGGATAGCGATGAGTATAAAAAAGAAGTTGAAGCAAATGTAAAGGCAGAAAAACTTTTACAGTTGCAAAACCAAACCGTACAGTATGAAAACTTAGCACAAGAAAGTAAAAATAACGACGCGGCTATGCAAAAGGCAATGAAAAGCGCAGAATATATAAAAGCTAACAATGACTGGTTAGATGCCCAAGCCAACGCTAAAGCAGCCCAACTCATAGGGTCAATAAGGACAAAAATACAAGCGGATGAAGATAGTTCAAATGAAGCTTTAACAAATGCTGACTTTAAGAACGCTTTCGAAGCTCTTCATAGTAAGGTGAAACAAGTGAACGACTTCTCATCTGGAAAGAAACTGAAGTCTGAAGGTTTCGACAAAGAGTTAAAAGAAGTAGCACAAAATATGACGAAAATAACAGATGCAGCAACGAGACAGGCAGTTCAAAGTGCCTATGACGCCGTTAGAGCAACTGTTGTGAAAAGTCAAGAAAAAGAGTTACAACAGACCAAAACAGACCTAGTAAATGCTTTCTTAAAAACGAAAAGTCAGGTAGGACATTACGCTGCAGATGGAACATATGTGCCAGCTGGTGGAACTTATATACCACCAAACCCTCCAAGAGAAGCACCTGCACCAGGACTACCTAGAACATTTACATCGTCACATGGACACAGACACAGGCATGCACAACAACCAGCACAACAACCACCTCCACAACCAGCACAACAACCAACACAACAACCAACAGTTCAAAACACTGCACCACAACCAGCACAACAACAACCACAAACAGAGCAAGGACATAAAAGAAGTAGAGAACAAGGAAACCAAGAATTCTTAAAAATGCTTAAAGAAGACTATGGTTACCCAGATAGTATTGACTTTAGTGACAGATATAAAGAAGCTATTAGAAAGTTCAAGGATGGAAATACTGACCCGAACCTATTTAGCTTTATGGCTCTGCACCAAAGGGGATATAATTTCAAACCTGGAAAATACAAGCTCGCTAAGGGATATGATTTAATAGCATATCATCCAAATGACATGAACGAATTTACTCCGAGATATTTGATGTCAGAGCTAAATGACAATTTAACTCTCTTCATGAAACGCGTAAAAAATAGAGACGGAACGAAAGAAGAAAGGTTTATGAGTCCGGATGACTTAGAAAGGGAACTTGTTGAAAACGGTCTCGGAATATATGAAATGCCAGCAGATGAGGTACAAGAAACTCCACAGGAAGAACTAGTTCAGATACAACCAGACATGGAAGAAATAGTTCAGCAACAAAAGCTAGAAGAGCCTGAAGGAAACGAACAAGTCCTTCCTTTGGAAACTAACTTCACAGAACTAGATGAAGATTTGGAACAGCCGAAAAATCTTGACCCTCAACAAGAGTATGCGGAGAATATGGAATATTTCCAAGAGTCTAAAAAAAATTCGGCTGACATAGTAGAAGAATATCGAAAAATGTTTGCCGACATACAAAAGACTCCAACATCAGATGAAAATATCCAGCATAGAATGGAAGAACTGAAAAAAAATGTACACAAATACAACAACCCTTTTTACTTACGAGCATTTAACGTTCAATCTTCGGATGAACTCGGTGAAGATAAAAGGTTAAATTTCAAGAAAACATATAGAAATGAAACATTGTTTAAAGTTCATTCAGAACCTAACCAAGATGGAAACAAACCTACTTTTGTTTCTGCAGACGATGGAACTACAATGAGATGGGGTCATAAAGCTAACCCGGATAGGTGGTTCATAAACTTACAACCTCAATTCCAAGAAGTTGTAGACGCAATGGAAGTCAATGGTGAACCAGATATAGCTGGTATTTTCAGCGCGGCTTTAATGCCATTGAAAGATATGAAAGATGCAGATATTTTGGACCAGTATGAAATGAACATGGCTGATGGAAATATAACACCTGACGTTCTAGAACATTTATCTCAAAGAACTACACAGAACCATAGAGATGGTATATTTGGTGAAGAGTTTAGAAAGAAAGTTAGGGAGATAGAAGGAAGAGAACCTATTGTACATGACCTTGCAAACGAAAGTTTACAAAATGTCATAAAAACTTACTTTGCAGACAATGAACCGAGAAGGGATGAATATTTAAGAAAACTCAAATGGACAGTACCAAATGAAATGTTAGTATTGAAAAACATGTTCCTTGACAAAATAAAACCAACTACAGAAATAAACGACGCAAGACTGAAAGATTGGGTAGAAGCCTTCCCATTCACAAAAGATATAGTTGGTAACATGGAAAGAAAACCAGAATGGCTACAAAAACATATATTTGGAAACGAGCATATTCCATATGGACAGGCACTGTTTGAAGAGCTTGAACCGGAAACTCAGGAAAGAGTCATGCAAACAATACGCGAAGACTCAAATACAGACTATGACAAACTCTTTCTAGGATATAGGTTACCTGAGATGGGCGACCAGAGCCAAAAGGCAAAAAGGACATGGGAAATTTGCAACATACTAGATGAACATAATGCAAAGATGCAACAACTTCAAGCAGAGGCAATGAAGGAAAAAGAAGAGTTAAAAACTCAGTCAGGAAGAAAGTAAAGCTTGGTCGGAGTGGGTTCTATTATGACATATAAATCCAACTATTCTATATTTTTACTCATATGAAATGTACGCCGCTCAGAATATAACGCCAACAGTTTTGGATGCTATGAATGGAAATGTTTCCGAATGGTATAACGAATGCGACAATGCCATTAGAAGGTCAGAAATAGTTCCTGGAACTTACGAATATACAACTGCTGTTTCTTATGGAAACGTAGGTGAGTTTGGAGAAGGTTCTTCAACAACAGTAGATATTGCTTGCGACAGGTTTCATATTATTTCTATTGACAACTCATTCTTATACGTGGAACAAGACATTGAAATAAAACCTTCTGCCAAGTTGTCTGACAAGAAAGGTTGCAATGGAATTTTCTATGTCGGATACCAGTATGCTCCAGAAGTTTTCATGGGATATAAGATATATTCTAACTCTGACTTAGTTCAAACAGTAACATGGGCAAACTATGAATGGTTCGCTTTGAGAAACTCAGTACAACCACAAGCTAGAGAACAAACAGACCAGTATGCAACCATTGAGAAAATAAGAAGACTTGACCCTAACGTTCCAGGAGTTTATGTTAACCTTTCTGGACAAACTGCAGCAGCAGTAACCAAAGTAAAACTGAAACTTAGAGTTCCTTTGTCATCTTTCCTCATCTTCAGGTTTTTAAGATACTTGCCAAACTGGGCAGGAAAAATTTCTATCGAACTTACTCCAAGCAAAAATAACTTAGTCATTGCACCAACACAAGACCCATTCACTCTTACAGAAGTAGTGGGAACAAATAAAATGTCATTCGCCGACTTTTGC